TTTTAGTCGGTCGGCCATTTTTTGTTGGTCAATCGGCCATATTTTCTAGCCGACCCCTGTTCATCTGTTTTTGCAGATATTTTTATGTTAGCTGTCACAGCTGGCATCCACTTTACACCCCCTCCATACACGTGTATGGAGGGATTGGCCTTTTGTTTAGCTTCTCTTGGAAGCCTTAGAAATTGGATTTCAATAAGAGGGGAGGCCCTCCTCCCTTCTCAAAGGTTCGGGAATTTAGGGTTAGAGTTCATATATCTCTCTCTCTCTATATCTCTTCCTCTATATATTTGTGTGTATTTGTGACCAAAAAGGTGTTTTGTTCTTAGTTTTGCACTAAGACACATAGTATTACACCATACCTTGGTTGCTGAGGTGCCAAAGGGTTGTTCTTGAAGTTTTTGAGCTGGTTTTGACCCAAGGAAGGTGCTGGAGTGGTCTTCTTGAAGGAGGTCAACAAGGGTGAGAACTATTCCCTTTATTCCCCATTTTTGCATAGGCTTTTAACCTATCTTGCATCCGTTTTTAAGCTTATCTATAAACTGAGAAAAGTTCTATTTTTACCTGCTTTTGATCTTTGTTTAAGGTCTCTTTGAGGTTTGGGGTTGTTTCCCCCTTCTAAGGCCTTGTTAGGCCTTGTTTTAGGCCATCCATTTTGGCCCTTGCTTTGGTCTTTGCATGACCTCTCTACCACTGAAATCCAGAGGATTTTCAGTGGTGGAGAGGTGCTTTTGAGGTCCTAAATGGAAGAGGGTTGTCCCCTCTCCTTGTTGTCTTTGATGCTTGCATAAGTGGCTTGTGTTGTAGCATGTGTGACTACCTTGCTTTAGCTCCATTTCAATGCATATTAGGCTTTGTTTTGCCATGATATAGTACTGTTTTAAGTTGGTTTAGACATGCCTTGTATGCTCCATACACTTGTCTTGTAATCCCATGTTTTGGCCTTAACATGCATCATGTTGTAACATGTGTTTTTAGCATGATTTTGACTTAGCTTTGTGAAGCTTTTATGCATGCTTTGGTGTGCTTGAGGTCTGATTTTGGTTGTTAGGGTCATCCATGACTTGCTTTGTATAGCTACCATGCAATCTAGCTTGTAGGCTTTGAGTATTGGATTCTCTAGCATGCTCTACTTGCATCATTTCAGTGGTTTGACATCACTTATAATGATATTTCAGTCCATATAGCATGCTCAAATACTTGCATTTATCACCTATTCCGTGCTTTGGATAGTTTGTGTTTTGTGCTCCATGTTTGGGCCTTTGTGTATGCTTCCATGCTTAGACCATTTAGATGCCATCTAAGTGTGTCTTTGGCCGTATTTTGGTCTGCCTTGGGACTGTTTTGAGTCCCTTTGGCTCTTTGAGGCTTGGTTGACATGGTCATGGCTTGAGCCCCATGGCTAGCCTTGAGTTTTGGACCTTGTTGCATGCCTTACTTACATGGTTTGGTTGGTTTGGAACCATCCTTAACATGATTTTAGAGTTTATCAACGCTTTCCATATGTCCATGTCCATCCCTTTTAAGTGTACTTAAAGTTGCTTCTTTATGCTTAAATATTGGACCATGTATGCATGCATGTTTGTATGTAAATTTGCCTTCATGTTCTTAGCATTTTGGCCAATAATTTGGGCTTATTTGAGAGCTGCCCATATTAGTTTAAGACCATCCCCGCATGTTGTTGCATGCTTGCCTAGTATGTTGTCACATACTTGTTGCATCTTTAGTGAATTACATGTTGTAGCATGCTAGTTCAATTGTGCCTCGTTGTGTGCTCAATCCATGACATGTTATTGCATGCTTAGGTTGTAATACATTTGGCATGCATTCTCTCTTTTAGTCACTTAACATGTTGTTACATGTTTGTATGTTGTCACATGCTTGCATGTTTGCATGCTTGTTCACATTTTCATGGTGCATACTTAGCTTCCATGCCTAGGTTGCGTTGCATTGAGCATGCATCCCTTGCCTCTTGATCAACCATGATTGAGGTTGGGGGTCCCTTGGTATGTTTTGTGTTTTGTGCATTTAATATTGAAGTTGCATACTTGACTCATTTGGCCATCACGCATTGAAATGCGCGATTGGTGGCCCGAGGGTCGAGAACCATGTTCCTCTAAGTCTCAAACATGCTGAGGAGGGTGGTGGTGCATAAATTGCTTTGAAAATGCATTGCCATGTCAGGCCTGTCCTCTGTTGCAGCAAACCAGTCTCCTGCAGGAAGAAATGGCCGGCCAGCAACTTTCAGTGCCGGCCGACTATCAAAACCCAACCGGTGGTATAATTTTTGGTCGATGACCAGTTCTCCGTCGCCGGTGGTGTTTACCCTTGGTCGGTGACCTCCCACAGTGCTCAGCGAGTAGTCCAGAACTAATCTTGAGACTTGTGTAGTCCTTAGAGGTGCAGAGCAGGGCAAACAGAGGCAGCAAGAGTATAGCGATGGATTTCCGGGCGGAATCGAGCACGCGTGCATTCATTCCTCTTCCCAAGGCCTCCTTACTGCTTTTCTTAGCTTAATTGATTTGTTAGTTAGTTAAGTGTTGTAAATATTTGATTAGCTTGTAGGTTAATTAATTTTTATTATTCTTTCGGTCCCTCCAAGAGAGGGCACAATTGTGTAATAAGTGTGCGTGTGTGTGATGCATGTCTTCTAAACCCCACTTCTTTCTACCTTTTACTTACCTGCTTTTGATGGTTAGTATTAGGGCACGTTTCAATTAGCATCCTCATGCTATGCATGTTTGCATCATTCATCTGTATTGCATGCACCGGGCTCAGCGCACCATACTAACTGCATTGTATTTCAATTCCGAGTTGAATACATGTTATATGTTACATTTCATATGCCATGTTTAAAATAGCCGAGCCTATTGTAGTTGTATTTTTGCATGTGTTACATTAGCCATCTTAACATGAACTAGGATCATGCATTTGATTACTAACTAGTTTCTGTTTTGGCTGGGAGTACTAGGTAAGCATTTACGCTTTAGCATCCTTGCATGTGTGTGAGTGTTTCCATGACAGCATGCTTACCATGAGGCTACCTGCTTACGTGATATAATTGCCTGAATGCCTGTGGGTGAAGGTTGGGTTGCTTGAATTGGAATAATTCGTCGAAACCCGTGTTTTTAGCCTACTTGTGAGTAGCAAACTTCAAATCCGTTTTCAAAACAAACGGATATGCGATGTTTTGTTCCAACTTAGGCGATCTAGTCTATACTTGTATGTTGTGCGCATCACATAGTAATTCTAGGCTAATAACCGGAATAAGAGCACGTAATATTTTCAAAACTCAATATCATGGTTAGTAGAGGCCGATCTTTGATCAAGCAAGTGGGGGTGCTCATGAAGTGACCTTCCCCAATCGTACCCAGGCTCCCAGGCCGAGGCCACTTTGGTGATGACAGACATCTGGCCTTAGGCACGAGTCAGGGTTTCCTAAATTCCCCCAAAATAAAATATTTAGGTGGCGACTCTGTATCTGGCAAAGCAGTCCATGTTTGGCACTTCTTTCTAAAAATATGTTTTCAAAACGATTTGCCGGATTTGGACTCTTTGGTGATTGATCAGTCTTGCATTGCACTTTGCGAGACTAGATTCAGAACCGTGACAATTTGAGTCCGAACTGTAGCTTGAGGCACCACGGGCGCGTCTACATATACATATATGCTTGAACTTCTATATTTCTACCTTTCCGTTTGCTGATTGAGACTTGTGTTAATACCCCATAAGATTTGTTAAAAAGATTGCTATCTAAGGAGATTGGACATCGAAGGGAGGCTATATTGACTCATCCAATCTTTCCTGGAATCTTATTGGGCTATTGACCAAATGACCCATTAGTGACGTTTCCTTAACCTAAACCCTTAGCCTAGATTTTTGGGCATCACAACTTGGTATTAGAGCCTAGGTTCAACCTTCACCTACGTATTTTGGTCTGTAGTTAGAGATAACTTTGCCCTAACTATATTATATTATTATAACACTATGTATTCTATTAACTAAAAGATTTTGAAAATTTGAAATTTTTTTGACCAACCTTTGGGTGTTTCCTTGGATTCTGGGTACAACAACATCGACTCATGAGAACATATTTCACATTCTAAATCGTCGCATGTTTCGACTCCAAACGATTTGATCATCATCTACGAATGGAAGTGGTTTGAACTCTGTACGACACATTGTGTTATGCATTAGATGTAGTATACAGGTACTATTATTCCTACAAGTCCTGTTCCAGTCATTATATCTTCTTCTCATATGTATAACATTTTCTTGATGTCATTCACGTTCAAGATTAAATCATTATCATTTAGTCTCACTTGGTATTTTTCTAATTCTACTATTTGACAACCTTTGAGCCTTGATTATTCTATCTAGTACGAGAATTCTTGTAAACATTTGTATTTTCTTAATTCAGTGACAAATCTTGGATATTTAGTTTCAAACGTGTATGACCAACGCAATTTCAGGTTAGATATCTAGTTTAGTCACTACTTTCATAACCTTGACCACATTAAAGTTTGAAACTGCAATGTCATCCATTCCATTATATCGTTCATCCATATTTCAATTGGTCCTTATACTACAGCTTTGTATTCTTTCCATTAATCCAATCTTGAAACTCTTGTAGTTATTATTTTGCCCATATATATATATATAAAGTTGGGTTGTGTGTTTTCCTAAATCGGTTGTTTACTATTTGATCTTATTGCTTCAGACACCCTAGGAAAATTAAACTTTAAGATTAGTTGATAACTCCTAAGAAACTGCCTCCATAGTTAGAACCCAACTTATGCCTCACCCCGTACTAAGAACAAAAAAAATGGTGGACCACACTCACGCCAACCGAAACAAACAACAACACACAAGCCGGCAAGCAACAATGTTGTCATGACTCGAACCCGCCCCTAGAGGTCTAGGTCATGATCGGCCAGTAATCGTAGATTACCTATAACCTCAAAGACAAAATCAAATTGCATAATTATGAATGGAGCTTGGTAGAAGCAATGACAATAAATAAACAAGTCCAATGAGCGGTGCTTATATGATGAACTTCGTAAGATGATGATCATTACATCCAAAGCTTGTAATATTTGACAAGAAGTTCAAATTTTAACTTACACACATTCAACTCCTTGCAAAAAGCTTGTACTTAACAAAACAAAACAAAGTTTAGACTTCAACTTATTAAACATAAACATGATCCTCAAATAGTAAAAACAAAAAGACTTCATAAAGAGTTTGGCAAAAGCTTGGCTCCGTTAGAGGCCAAGAAATGCCCTATCACAGAGACACCTTTTGAACGGCTTCTCAAAAGGATGGACCCCCGAATGCAACTCTAGACTTGAAGATCCACATGCACACCTACATATATATAAGGAAAGTGGGTGAGCTAGAGCTCAATGAGTAATATCAATATAAAGGGTTAATAAAAGAAGTCCAATATTTCATACAACATAGCTTTCAATTTCCAAAACATTTCAAATACTCATTCATATTAATGCTTGTTGTTAGCAATATCCATTCGAATCATTATACGTGGTAACATCCAATAGAGTAATAATATAACAATCTGCTGAAGCCAATAGGACCATCAAGGTCAATTCAATGGGACCACAATGGGTCAAACAACAAAACCACAATGGGTAATTCAATATGGACCATTATGATCTAACATCAGAGATCTTTGTGTTTCAATTAATCCATGGGCCATGGTATTATGTCCCCCAAGCAAGGGCCTTACTAAAGGATACCATGAATACATTTAACAAAATGGATCCTCATTCATTCATATAAAATATCATTTCATAATATCATTCATATAACAATTTTCAAAATACATTTCAAACATATTACTCACAGTGGGCTGGAACAGACATTAGGTTTCACGTGACCCACCTACACAAACACATAACAATACACATTGAAACACATTGGCTATATAAAAATTATATCTTAATTCAATGCTTTAAATAGGTTTCTAGTGTATTCCTTCTTTAATGATGCCTAAACAATGCCCAAGAATGCCTAAAAGATCATGAGAATGAAAATATACACTTAAAAAGGGTTTTTCAAAAGTTGTTGAAAGCAGGTTGTTCGCTCGAGCACACCTTTGATCGCTTGAACGATCTGTATGGCTTGCAAATGTTCTAGATGCTCAAAATCTAGGCTCGATGGTCGCTCGAGCCATGTACAAAATAAACTGAAGTCGCTCGAGCGATCTGCAAAATTTTGTAAAACTACTAGGTGATTGATATATGTGCTCGAGCGGTAACTTCGTCGCTCGAGCAATGAGATCGAAAACTAGGTTTTCAAAGCAGAATTTTAAGTTTCAAAACAAGAGTCTACAAATCAAAGGACTACATGGTTTGTCAAACACTTGAAAACACTTAGAAAAACATGAAAACATAACCAATTTGTGAGCTTAAACTCAAAATCCCATGAATTGCCAAAATTTCAAATCAAAATCTCTATACATGAGGAGTTCCTAACTCTTTTCTTTCATATTGTTCAAACATGAACTAATCAATGGATATACACAGAAATTTCTGAAAAATAGGTAATATAACTTACATGCAAGCTAGGGTTTCAAAAATTAAACTCAAAAATGATGAAATGATGCATGCATGTTCATAATAAGCCAATTCTCACCATCTTCACACTAATTTTACAATCTTCATTACATAATCTTAATTCTCATCATGAATACACTTCTTAGGAGTATTAAATTCAAGAATTAAAAGTTAAATACATACCTAGAGCTTGAATTTAGTGTTTTACTTTACAAATTTCTTTTATTCCTCATCTTCTCTTCATAATTCTTCTTCTTCTTCTTCTTCTTCTTCTTCTTCTTCTTCTTCTTCTTCTTCTCTCTCTCTCTCTCTCTCTCTCTCTCTCTCTCTCTGTGTGTGTAAAATTTCAGCCCAAATGTTGATTATGAACTCAAATCCCTTTCTTAAGTCATATATATACCTAGGATTAGATTAGGCTAATTAATCTAGTTTAATTCTAATTAATTTTATCCAATTAATTTTAATATGAATCAAATTTTAATTAAACTTCCCAAATGGTTCTAAATATTCAATTTAGCTTATTGAGCTTGCCAATTTCAGTTTCTGAATTTATTTAGGCCCTCAATTTCTGATTCAAAGCAATCATTCTAACAGATATTTCGTAATCGAACAGATATAAGCAAAATTAAGCACATAAACATGAAAATTCACATAATAATGTAATATGCAATAATGATATACACGTTGGGGTTGTCACAGTCTCTCCCCCTTAGAAAGTTTGGTCCTCCAAACTGAAGTTACCTTCATCGAAAACAAATGTGGATACCGTTGTCGCATCTCATCCTCTTTTTTCCATGTAGCTTCCTTTCTGTAGTGTTCTTTCCACTCCACCTTCACCATTGGAATTGATCTATTTCTTATTTGTTATATTTGTCAATTAATAATCCATATAGGCCATTCTCCGTATTTCAAATCATCATCTAAAGCTATTCGGTGATAATTTATGACATGAAACAGATCCCGAAGATAACCTTGAAACATTGACACATGAAACACATTATATGCCTATTCTATTCCCGGTGGTAAAGCCATTCGATAAGCAACAAGGCCAACTCTCTCTAAAATCTAAAATGGTTCGATGTAGTAAGGAGCCAATTTCCCTTTCCTACCAAACCCCGTATGCCCTTTTATCGGTGTGACTCTAATGAATACATGATCACCCACTTCATATTCTAAATTCCTTCTTCTCTAATCCGCATAACTTTTCTGCCGTCTCTAAGTGGTCTTGAGCCTTTGTTGTATGATCTTTATCTTTTCGGTTGCTGCTTGCACAAGTTCCAATCTATATAAAGCTCTATCCCCGCCTTCCGTGTAACAAATTGGTGACCTAGACTTCCTTCCATACAGTGCCTCATATGGTGCCATGGCGATACTAGCTTGGAAACTATTGTTATATGCAAATTCTACCAATGGAAAGTATGTTTCCTAACTACCTCAAAATTCCAATGTACACCTATGAAGCATATCTTCTAGAGTTTGGATAGTCCTCTCAGTTTGCCCATCAGTTTCCGAATGAAAGGCAGTACTGAACCTCAACTACGTTCCAACTGCTTTCTAAGGACTTTGCCAAAACCTGGATGCAAACTTAGGGTCCCTGTTTGAAACAATAGATATCAGAACTCCATGTAAAATGAATAATCTCATCGATATAGATGGTAACAAGTCTATAAGCAGTAAAAGAGGTTTTCATGGAAAGAAAATGAGCAAATTTAGTCAACCTATCCATAACAACCCAAATAGAATTCATACCTCTAAGTGTTCAAGGTAGACCAATGATCAAACCCATGGTTATGTGCTCTCATTTCCATTCTAGAGGAGGAAGAGGTTGAAGTAATCCTGCCAATTTCTAATGTTCATCTTTAACTTATTAACATTGGAGACATTTGGAATTAAAACTAGCAATTTCCCTCTTCATATTAGGCCACAAATACACTTGTTTCCAATCTTGATACATTTTTGCTATTTCCCGGATGCATTGCGAACTTTGATTTGTGAGCTTCCTCCAAAATTCTTATTTTCAACTCTATAACATTAGGGACACAAAGCCTTCCCTGGAATTTCAATACTTGATATTCAATGGTAAACCCCGGTCTTGGCTTGGTTTCAAACTTGTCATATACTTTCTTAAGGAACTTATCTTCTCTTTGCTTCTATTTGATTTAATCTATGATCACCGGTTGTGCGGATATTGCGGCTAACACACTGTCTTGCCTATGATGTGTAAATTTTGTTTTTAGTATGTGAACATCACCAAGTTTAGAGTTGCTTCAGAAGTCCACCCATTTTGTAAAATCATTTGTGAAGTGCCTCTGTGATGGGGCATTACTTGGTCTCAAGTGGAGCCAAGCTTTGTCAACCTCTTTGAACTCTTTTGTTTTTGCTATATGAGGATTATGATGATGTAAATAAGTGAAGTCTAAACTTTGCAAATATTTTTATGATATGATGAATGACCTTTGAGTTCCTTTATGAGGTTTTTCATATATGCACCGCTTAGTGGAATCTGGGATTACTGGTCGGTCATGACCTAGACCTCTATGGGCTGGTTCAGGTCGTGATAGAGTGGTATAAGAGAATGAGTTATTATCTCACACACTTGTTCATTGGAGCAATAAGGTGGTATCAGAGCACGAGTTATATAATTGAGGTTATTATCTCAAATTCCCATGCATGTATAGATTAGCTTTAAACTCTATTCTAAATTTCCAAAACATGAAATTCATCTTTAAAATTCTATGAATTATGGATGCATGGATGATTCAACTCTCAATTCAAACATAGTTAACAAAATCATGCTTAAAAATGATGAAACTTCTCAAAATCATTCATGCATGTATGCCTAGCTTTCAAATTCATCATCTTTAGCCCAATTCTTGTGTTTTATCTCATAATCTTCTTGAATTCATAAGTTAGATGACTCAAATTCATGAATTGAGAATCAAACACTTACCTAGATATAGCGATCCCGGTTATCCCTTTACTGTTCTGTTGTATTCCGGACTCGGTTTCGTGAAGTTGGTAGTGGTATCTATCTTGTTGTCGTCCTTTAATTCCACTTGATTGAGTTTTAGGATGTTTTGAGGAGGGTTGTTACAGGTTGGTTAGGCCTTGGTTTCAATTCCTTGTTGTTCAGTTTTTAGGCGGTCCGCTCGAGCGGGTCTTCTTGCGCTCGAGCGGGGATTGCATACCTCCAGTATTTCGTGTTCCTGCAAAACTTCTACAGATGTGATTTTTACGCTCAAGCGGGTTTGTTTACGCTCGAGCGGTGGCGCTCGAGCGGGTTTGTTGGCGCTCAAGCAGGTAGTACTTTCACTTTCTGGGTTTAAGTTCTGGGAGGGGAAAATCTACGCTCGAGCGGACTGGTTTTCGCGCTCGAGCGGAAGTGCTTTATTCTTGTGTCTTGGCGCTCAAGCGGGCAGTATTGCGCTCGAGCGTGTCCAGATTTTGTTCTTGGCGCTCGAGCGTTGTGTTCTCCGCTCGAGCGGGTCAAACGTATATAAGTTATCCGCTGGGTGATTTTAAATCACTTTTTATCATTCTTTCTCTCTCTTACTTTTTCAAAAACACCATTGTTGAGCTTCTCACTCTAGAGCTCTACCTTCTCTCTAGATTTTGATCTAGCTAGGGTGTTTTCCTTACCTTTGGTCTTTACAAAAGAGTTGTTGATCGTCGAGGGCTATCTTTTGATATGAGAAACTCGTGATTTGGAGCAAGTTCGTTTTCGTCATCTTCTTCGTTGGTTGTCATCTTTTGAGGTAGGGATTCCTACTCACTCTTATGGTCTTTGACCTA